AAATACAAAACAAAAGAAGAGCCAGCCGATCAACTCCCCTGACTGGCCTCCGTGGCGGCCTGCTCCACAACGCCTTGCTCGGCGACAACCCCACCACCTTCCTCGGCAGCAACACTTGCGCTGGTTTTGGACCTAGAGGCAGCAGTATCCCCCAAGACGTCGTCATCGGACCAGTCAGATTCACCGATGGAGGAACTCAGCACTGGGGCCTGCCTTTCGGAGGGAGGAAGTTTCACCTCCTCCTCTAGGTCCCTCATATTCTTGGGAAGCTTCAAGTGAGTCCGGACCCATTTCTGGGTAAGCTTCAGCACGTTAAGGCCACGACACAGCCTTCGGTAGATCAGCCACTGCATCCGCTACTGGCCCATGTCGTAGTAAACCGACATCTCCCTCTGGAAGTAATCCTGGTCGGCAGAGCAGTTTTGGCCCCAGTCTTCTAGCCGGTCCGCCACATCCTCGTAGCACCAGGGCCGACGATCTTCCGCCTTCCAGCCTTCGGCCAGAAATTTTTCAACTGCGGCATCAGCAGCCTTCTCGGCTTCAGCTGTGGCCTTCACGGCGTCCTCAGCTCGAAGCAGGGCTTCGTCACGACCCTTTAGCGCCTCATCTTTTACCCTCAGGGCGTCATCCCTATCGGCCGCCACCTGACGATAGGCCACGTCGGCTTCATCAGCCCTCTTCTTCAGGGCCTCTACTTCGCCCCGGAGCCGATCCAGGCAGACCATGGCCTCCTCGGCCGAAGCAGCTTTTTGCTCAGCCTCTTTCAGTCAAGCAATCTCTTGTTGCTGCCTCGTATGACTCTCCATCAGCATAAGAGCCCCCTGCAAAAAATAAAAGGGTTAGGACGATGCAGACACTTATGACATCAAGAAATAAAAAATAGTAAAGTACAAGGATCTTACTTGGACGACGAGGTCCATCCCACCGTCATAAATCCTGACGGGGCCAAGCTTCTTCAGATAAGCCCGGTCCTCGACCGGGACGGCTTGTGCAAGCACATCGTGGCCGTTGACAGCGTCGTTGAAAACGCCACCCTTTACAGGGTACTCGACCTCCAGCTTTTAGGTCCCGACGGCCAGCTCCTTCCCGGCCCTCTTCTTCCGGGAGTCCTGAACGGTAGGGGGCGGCTGGGACATAGCAGTCGATGAAGGGGCAGAAACCATGTCAACCACATCGACGACATTAGAACCCCCAGCATCTTCAGCCGGTACAGTTGCAACCCCGGCATCAGCCTCGGCCGAAGGAGAAGCCCTCTTCAACTTCTTCGAAGGCTGCATGCCAGCCTCGGTCAACTTCTTCTGACCGTCATCCACCGGCCGCTTCTTCGGATGAGTGGGCGGTTTCCTAGGCACATCCGAGCTAGGCTGTGCTCCGCCCTCAACGTCCAACCTCGCGCGCCTTTGCCTTAGCTAAGGCCATGACAGATCGGCGGTCCATCACAAAATCTACAAAAAAACAACAGTTAGCAAGGAGAGGAAACAAAAATAAGACAAGGACGCCGAGGAGAGCATTACCATCAGCTTCGGCGGGCACGCCCATATCCAGGCCACCGGCCTCCTCAAAAGTGGTGGTCATCCTCGGCCATATCTCGGCATCGCTCTCCTTATCTCCGTATACAAAGTACCTCATGAAGCTGACGGAGGTCATTTTATACTCTGTGATATAGTCCTTCACACTCCTCGGCCCTCCCTTGAAGAATGCCGCCACCTGGGCATCTAAAATGCTACTCCTCGGCATGTCATGGAGGTTAAATCTCCCGTTATGGCCGACGAAGGGAAACTTGGTGCCACCCTCGCCGAAGGTCACAAAGACGAATTTACTCTTCCAGCCATGAATGGACGAAGGAAGAGCAGTGAAGGACCTCTTGTTATTTATCTGCTGGAGGGTGGCATAACTGGCACAATTCTTGTGGCTCCCTCGGCCTATCTGGTACAGATTCATAAACAAGGCTGTTGTCGGCCTAAAGTCTAGCTCTTCACAGCGGAGGAGGAAGCCGACGATGAGTGAATAGCTATTCGGGGTCAGCAAGGTCGGAGGAAGACCCACCATGTCCAGGTACTCCATGATGAATGGATGAAGCGGGAACCGAAGTCCCTTAGCGAAACTCATCGGGTATACCCCGAAATACTCGGCCGGAGGCTGAAGCACATGATCCGTCGTCCTGGGCACCCTAACCTTCCCATACGGCCCCACATACATCTGGGCCACCAAGTAATCAGCCGCGCTACTCTCCGGCTTGATAAGGTAGATATTCGTGAGGTCCAGGTAGGAGAAACCTGTACCCTTCTTCGGCCGACACCTTCTCGTCGGGGCGGTCCCCTTAACGGCAGAAACAAGCTTCGAGCAGGGAATCGTGGCTGAAGTGGACGCTCCGTCCATGGCGCGGGAAACCCCTACGTCCTCACCTTCTGACGACGAGGCGGCCTCTTCGTCCTAGTTCTCCTCATCCTCTTGCTCCCCTGACTTGAAGGAGCTCAACTCTTCTATCTCCTCACAACACTCCTCTACCACCCGATAGTCAAGGGATTTGACGGAGGCCTCATCGTCATATGGGTAGTATTCATCTTCCAAAGGTTTCATCATAACGGCTAACTAAGGCCCAGGAGAGACTACTTAAGATTTAAAGGTGGGTTTTCACTAACACTAGATCGAGCCCCTAGGGATGCAAAATATGTAAAAAGGAGGAGAAAAGATTGATGAACTGACCTTTGAAGTTATGAAGTTTTGAAGAACGCTCGAACAGCCTTTATCTCTCTAGAAATTTGGACAGCGCTTCGATATATCAGAAAGCAATAGGGAGTTCCTTCGGATAGAGGGGGGTATTTATAGACCTCCCCCTCCAACGGTCACTACACGTGGCGCTCCCCCATTGGCCAAACGAACGTCCACCACTCCCAAGGCCCATTGGGCTGGCACCGGTTCAGAAGACAGGTCGGGCCAACTTCCATCAGTATCAGTCCATCACCAACATACCAGTAATCATCATCCATAACGGCCAGACATTCAACGGCCATCCCAAGCGGAAAAATTTGCCCCCACAGGGCACGACTGCAACGGCCTTAGCAGTCAATCTTTCCAAACAGCTGGTCACACCACATTGTACTCATATCGGCTTAACATACCGTAAGCAACATGGCCCCTTCAACGGCCACAACAGCAAAGCACAAAACAACCCAACGGCCATCGGCCTTGTAAAAACCCTGATGATAACTCCTTGAAAGCGATCTGCATCCAAAGGTTCTCCCACAGGGTTACCTTGGTCAGGAAATCGCAAAGGGATTGGATTCAAGGGAATACAAGAGTCCCGCTTCGGCCTAGGGTTACACCTTACTCCTTCACCCCTCGCTCCCTCTTCGGCCTGAAGCAGTGGGGGACTACACCGGCCTCCGGAGTGCAAGAAAGGACAAAATCAAAGAAATCCAAAAAAATACCAAGTCCACAAATACAGCATCAGGACATAAATGTACCACAATATCCATGACTTGTGGAGCACCTTCGGCCTCAACAAAATCGGCAAATAAAGAACTATATCTCTTCCCAAAACGTGGCGCGTATCGTCTCTAAAACGCGCGCCACTCAACGGCCTTCAGATCACATACTCCACTCTCGGTCGAGAAATTAAAACAGGAACCCAACGTCCTCAGATCTTCATCGTCCATGGAACCAAGATACACACTACTTCTTCCGGATCAGTAACGCTATCATCCTCAGTAACGCTAGTTTTGGTATGCATACTAAAACTATGCATACCACCGCTTCGGCCTGTGGCCCAAAAGCGATCATTTGGCCTCCTCGCCCAAGACACCAAAAGCAACTGCCAGCGACCAGAAAGGAGAAACATCACCCACATCGGACCAAGAGCTCACATCGGCCACTGAGCCAGGGCACTCATCGCCCTCAAGCGAACTTACCCCCTCGAAGGAACATCAGCCCCCTTCGTCCACAGTGAAGGCCATACAACGGTCAGAACGAAGAACGCCCGTAACGGCCAAAAACAAAGAACCAGAGAAAGGGACGCCCGTAATGGCCAAAACAAGGAAAACCCCGTAGCGGCCCCATAACGGCCAGAAAAACGTCAAAACCGTGGAATCTACTCTCCCTCACTTCGTCTACATCTCAGCTCAGAAAGTGAGGGACTCCTGATGGAGTATATGGGCCTGGACCCCAGGATCCACATACTCAGAAGGATAAGAGGCACAACTGTCACCCAGTGGGGCCTCCGTCGGCCAGAAAGATATCAACTCAGAACATGGTCCGGAAGCCGGGAGAACCGGGTATCCCCGTCGGCCGGGGCCGCGTCGGCCATGGCCGCGTCGGCCATAAAAGGCTCCCAGAATCGAATTTCGTACTTAGTTATTTCTACACATCTTGTACTCGGCCCAATAGTGGCCCAATTGTAAATGGGCCTCCCAAGCCCAAGACTTGGGAGCCCAACCCTAATTTCCTCTATAAATACTCCCCTTGGGGTAGTTGTAGGGGCACAAATCATTAATACAAAGCAATTACAACACTTCTCTCTCTAGCTCTCACTTCTCTCTAGGAGTTAATACTCTATCAACTATGTATTTGACATATGACTCCCTCCGTCCCAAATTATTTTGCAAAGTCATCATTTTTTGGTCAATCAATAACAAAAGTCAATCCTCCTTGTCGATAATTAACTTAATTTTTAATAATAAAAATTTATATATTCAGAAACTAAATTAAAATCTCTTCAAAGTTGCGAACTCCAAATTAGAATATAATTAAAAATTGACATCCTAATTAAGCAAATAAAATGAAAGTGTTTGACCAAAAAAAGTCAAATTTGCAAATCAATTTGGGACAGAGGTAGTATCATTTTTTCATGGAGTACTTTTTTTACAATTTCAATATTTTGCATTTTGATGAATTTTTTAACCCCTTGAATATTGTTTTGGACTTTGGTTTGGTTATACAGTACGGACTACGGAGTACATCATGTAGGTAACAAGCAGCCACTATTCCGTTTTCCGATGTACAAAAAAAAAACAAGCAGGTCAAAAATCAATATCAGCACGTTCTTACCCTCCTGCAAAAGTAGGGGAACTTCCTACTGCTATGAATATTTGGTGTGAATCTATCTTGATTTCCCTATAATTCAACATACTATGACACTGATGAAGCTTTAACATATCAGTTTGGGTTGAATTCATGTGGTGGGCATAATGCTAGCTCTTGGTGTTTGCCCTCTGAAAATTGATTCTTCGAAGGTATATCATTCGGATTTGGAGCAGGGGTTATCTCCAAATTCATTTTCAAGAAGGGGGTTTGTCGAAAGACTGGACCTTGCTCCCACTACTGTCTTGTTTGTATCAAGAATTTCCGAGTCTCGGTTCAATTTTCTTAGATTTTACGGCCCACGAAAACATTGTATTGGCTCATTTTCAGCATTACCCTTACTGTCCGAGGAACAAGCAACTATCTGTACCACTTCTGAACAAGATCAACTGTCACGGAGCCGGGTTACCAAGTCAACTCAGACTGAGGGAGGAATTATCAAGGGTAAGAGAACAAGAGTGAGGGTTGATGTTAAAGAACTTGCACAGAGATTGCACACAGCCAAGAATGCAGACGATGTTGAAGATATTCTGAAGAACAACGATGAACTTCCCCTCCAAGTGTACTCAACTTTAATTAAGGGTCTTGGTAAGAACAATAGGCTAGATTCTGCAGTCTCACTTGTTGAGTGGTTGAGAAGAAGAAGAAAGAAAGACACTTCTACTGTTCTTCCCAATCTTTTCATCTACAACAGTCTCTTAGGAGCAGCAAAAGAGGCTGAAAAGTATGACGTGGTTGGCAAAATAATAGAGGACATGTCCTCAGCTGCAATTAATCCCAATATTGTGACATATAACATTCTAATGAGTTCATATATACAGAAAGGTCAAGAACTCGAAGCTCTCAATCTTTTCAATGAGATACCAAACAAGGGTTTATCTCCAAGCCCCGTGTCCTATTCCACAGCCTTATTTGCTCACCGAAGACTCCAAGACGCGTTTGGGGCCGTGAAATTGTTCACAGAATTGAGAGACAAGTATTATGGCAAGGATGAGTTTCCCAAGCTTGAGAGTTTCACCGCCCGAATATGTTACCAGGTGATGAGACAGTGGGTGTCAAAGAGGGAAAAATCAAGCACAGATATATTGAGACTAATGATAGAAATGGATAAGGCGGGAATTCAGCTTGGGTGTGTAGAATGTGAGCGCCTCATCTGGGCATGTACGCGTGAAGAACATTACCCAATTGTTAAAGAGCTCTATCAAAGGATAAGAGAGAGAAACTACGGAAATATTAGCTTAACTGTTTGCAACCATGTGATCTGGCTAATGGGGAAAGCCAAAAAATGGTGGGCAGCTCTTGAAGTATATGAAGACTTGCTTCTTAAAGGGCCAAAACCAAACCAGTCCTCTGATGAGCTTATAGTGTCACATTTTGATGTTCTTCTCAGTGCAGCCAGGAAAAGAGGAATATGGAAATGGGGCATTGGGTTACTCAATAAGATGGAAGAGAAAGGGATCAAACCGCGAAGTAAGGAATGGAACAATGTCCTTGTATCATGTTCAAAGGCTTCAGAAACGTCAGCTACCATAGACATATTCAAGAGAATGGTGGGAAATGGTGAAACCCCGACTATCGTATCCTACGGGGCGTTACTAAGTGCCCTAGAGAAAGGTAGGCTGTATGATGAGGCGGATCGGGTATGGAAACACATGGTAACAGTAGGGGTAAAAGCAAATTTATACACCTACACAACCATGGCTTCGATCTACAGCGCCCAGGGTAAATTCAATGCGGTAAATTCCATCATCCGGGAAATGGTGACTCGCGGGATTGATCCAACAGTGGTCACATTCAATGCTGTTATCAGTGCTTGTATACGAAATGGTATGGGGAGTGCCGGTTATGAATGGTTTCAAGAAATGAAAGCTGCAAACATAAGCCCTAATGAGGTGACCTATGAAATGCTGGTTGTGGGGCTTACTAGTGATGGTAAGCCGAGGATGGCCTTTGAGTTGTATGTTAGGGCTCTCCGTGAGGGTATGGTTCTTTCAGCGAAGGCTTATGATGCTATCATCCGTTCTTCATTGCTACATGGACTTAATATTGATGTTACCACTCTTGGGCTCCGGCCAGTGAAAAAGCAGAAAAATGTGCAAAGTAGAAACTCTTTGATGGAGAAGATAAAGTGAGGATGAAGATGTTTAGGGGGAAGGGAATGGGAGGCTGAAATGGAAAATGGGAGATGAAGAGGAGAAAAAGTGGGATTACTATGGGAATGGGAGAGGAGATGGGCTATTTATACCGGGTACACAAGGTGCAAGCCCTTGTGCACAAATATCTTTTTTCTTCTGTTAGCCTGACGGTTAGTACACTAAGAGCCCGTTTGGTAACACTAAAATCATCTGAATCGGCTTATTCTGCTGAAATTTATGAAGTTCAGGCTAACGTGGCCTGAACTTCATAAAAACATTAAAATAAAATAAAATAATGGTTGAAACATTTGAGAAACGGTCCTGGGAATCCAAGCACTCTCTTTCATTTCCTACTGCATATTGTAGTAGGAAATCTTACTGTTTCTTATTGCAGTAGGAAATCTTACTGTTGAAAAATGTTAAAATCTTACTGTTTCTTATGTGAGTCCATATTGCAGAAGTGGAAGAAAGAATGTGGTTAGCTTATATTTTCAAAAAGTTGTTTCTGTTTTCAACCACATAACACATGGTATACATTTCCTAATTTTGATTTGGCTAATAACAGTATTTATATTATCAGTTGCATCTAACAAGTGGTCTATATGAAGCATCTAACTAATATCATTGTTGGTTAACTAATATCATTGATCTCTTAGAAACTCAATTATACCAAACTTTTATAAATGAAGATTCATGAAATATAAACTACATATTACTTAATTTGTTTTGAATGTTGAGTGTGATATATCCATTTAATCTACAAAAGCAAAAAGATCATATTGAGACGGTTAAGTAGGGGCAGAGTGATTGACCGTAAAAACCAGAAACCGAGTGATCGATTAGCAAATATACGTGTCTTTAAATCCATGTACATTAACTTTTAATGTGTAAATTACCAAATTTATAATCCATAGACATCAACCATCTGGATTTTAAACCCTCTGGTTTCATTCCAGGTTGAGAACGGGAATGATGTCTAGCGTTGTGGAAAGAACAGAGGGTTATGAGCGATTTTCAGTTTATATTGAATGATGATGCCAATGATAGGAACCCACTTACATTAGACTAATAATAGGAGTATTAATAATAATATTAGTAATAAGTGTCTGAGTACCTTAGTATAAATAGACGGGTAAGGGAGTTAGAGAGGAGGCTTTTAGACATTTGGTCTTGGGACTAGGAAGGATACGAGACTGAACATCTCGATCTTTTGGGGCTACGGCTTTGGGGGCTTCGGCCTTGTTCACTGTTTCTTTTCTGTAATCGATATCTTCTTCAATAAAATTCTTCAGCTGATTTCTTGTTACTCTTCTTGTAATTGTTTTGGAATTCTGAAGGTTCCTATCATTGGTATGAGACGGAGAATCTGAAGCATGGAGGAGGATTTCTACATGACACCTCAAATGGAAGAGAGTTTTGATAATATTGACCGACTGATGAGGGAGTCAAATGCTAGGTTAGCGACAATGCAAGCTGGCATCGCAGAATTGCAGAACCGACTTAAAAGTTGTTCGCGGGATCGATCGCACAAATCGCATAGGTCGCATCGCGACTCTCTTCATCGACGTATGCAACATCCGATTGACTCAGAGGAATCGGAAGAACAGAGTCTTCGCAGAAGACCTGGAGATCGATCGAGGAACTTCAGCCATGAGCCGCTATCACCGACGGATTCGCAGATGAAATCGCGAACTTCTCATATTTCGCAGTCACGAACCTCATCTTCCAGTTCACGATCGCGAACTACTTATTTTGGCTCGCACTCGCGAACTTCTGATCACTATTCACAGACGCGAACAGTTTCTCTCTACTCGCAGACTTACTCCTCAGATATCAATATGCGTTCAAGAAAGAAGCTAGGGAGTGGAGAATCATCATATTTGTCGCCAAAGGATTATCACTGAAATATCAATATTCGGCTATTTCAGAGTCCAAGCTATTGCAGAAAGATTTAAAGTGGACGTGGCAGCGAAGGCTATGGGGGAAGAAGCAGATGGCTGGTTTCAATGGTGGGATTTTCAAAAGAGAGAAGACAGTTGGGAGGCACTAAAAGAAGATTTGATTAGGGATTTTCCACCTAGACACCTGCAGAAGACAGGGAAGACGACAAAACAGGAGTCATCCAAGTCACGAAGAACGTCCAGTTCGCAATCTTCTAAGCGGATTAATGTTACTCCATGTTTGAAATCGAGTACCACTTTGACCAGCTCGCTAATTAATCATCATCTTCGATCGTCATTAGAAGGAATTTTTACTGATTTGCAGATGTCATCAAAACTTTTGTCCCAGGTTTCCGAATCAAGATGGAATCCAGCTGAATCATCAGTTTCAAATGAACCTGTAATCAAGATGGAACCAACTGAACCTGTAATCAAGCAAAGGAATAAGGAAGATGAAATCACGGTGGAAAGAGTCCTAATGGTTCCTGAAAAGTCTGATCCAAAGATTCATAAGGATCATGTTTATCTTTTTTCTGAAGAATCTGCTATCACCCGGGGAAACCGCACACAGATTAATGCTGCTGATAAATCTAGCCATGACCAACACCTCGAATTACAACAAGCAGAATTACAGCCATGGGTTGAGAGCATGTTAGACTACCCCAAGCCTTACTTACATAATTCCCTTGGAGAAAATGAAAGTTATCAATTGTTGGGAGACATCTATGCAATGACAGCTCATGACCTATTACTTCCTGAGGTTTATAAAGTCTTCACAAGGTTTTTACAGAGGTTGAACCCAAAGAGTTACCAGCAAACTCCAGTTATTAGGGCTCCTGGTAGCATACAGCCTTTGGATGTTCACATTTTACCTTATGTTAGGCAAATGTGGACCAAACCACGACAACATCGTGAAGAATTGGTTATTGATTCACCAGATCTTCTGCCACTATGGTTGAAACCTTTACCCATTGATGACGTCAAAGCTGTGAGCGGAGTTTCTTGTGATCCTAATACCAGGATAAGTATTCAAAGCAAGAAGCAGGAACTATGGGAATGGAGAGGAATTTCAAGGGTGAAAGAAATGAAGATGAATGGTCAAGTATTGATGCTGATGGGTGCAGTTTACAAAAGGAATGGGCCTAGTCTTAAGTTTGATAGAAGGGAGTGCAATATCATGGAGATTGTTGAATTCTTAAATTCAAATATAGAAACACGGCATGACTCAAGTTCTCTTGAACCTTCTTCTGACATGTGTGTGAATGAAGTTCTGCATGAGATATTCAGTGTGAAGTTTCAATTAAGAGATAGGGTGAAGTCAGAAGCAAATGCTAGGCTGAGGCTGGTCAGGAGTTTTTCATATAGAGGACTAGAAGTTTGGAAAAGTATGACACCACCACCAGCTAGATATTGGGAGGGGAGAGGCACCCGGAGGAAGCGGAATTCCAGAATTGGTTCCTATCATCCCACCTTGAGGACAAGGTGGTTGTTTAGGGATGTATTGATAGGAACCCACTTATATTAGACTAATAATAGGAGTATTAATAATAATATTAGTAATAAGGGTCTGAGTACCCTAGTATAAATAGACGGGTAAGGGAGTTAGAGAGGAGGCTTTTAGACATTTGGTCTTGGGACTGGGAAGGATACGAGACTGAACATCTCGATCTTTTGGGGCTACGGCTTTGGGGGCTTCGGCCTTGTTCACTATTTCTTTTCTGTAATCGATATCTTCTTCAATAAAATTCTTCAGCTGATTTCTTGTTACTCTTCTTGTAATTGTTCTGGAATTCTGGAGGTTCCTATCAGCCAACTTTGTATGCAATCAGCATCATTAATCATTAAAACAAAGGCAAACAATAACTTACATGAGGGGAAGAAGGGGTCGGTTGAGTAACGTCAAAGTCAATTTGCATACTCAATGAAGCCTCTAGAGTGCAAAGGAAAGCAGAGTAGAGTTTGGGTGATGTTATACGAATGGAAAAACGTATGTTGAGGGATGAATAATGAAGAGAGTAACATGTCTTGACCATGTGGTACATTCTTATAAAGCAAATTTTTAATACCTAACATAGGTATTGATTTAATTGGCTTTTATTCTTTATACTTATTACATTGTAGTTATAATTATAATACTTTTGTATTTTTTAATTTAAGATTTCCAAATTTCAACTAAAGAGGGAGTTGCATGGCTCTTAAAGGTTTTAAATTTATGTCTCTTCTAATCTTAATGTGTTTTTATGTGACTCCATATTGCAGAAGTGGAAAAAAGATTGTGGTTAGCTTATATTTTCAAAAAGTTGGTCTCTGATTTCTACCACATAACACATGGTCTACATTTCTTTGTTTTGATTTAGTTAATAATGGTATTTATATTATCATTTTCCATCATTTGCACTGGAGCCAAAGACTCGCTATTTTTTGGCTTGGGAATATGATGGAATAAAGCAAAATGGCTCACTAAATTGTCTGCACTTCTGTGTTATGAAGCAACAGTCAGTCCATGCAATTTTCATCGCGATTTTCACTATGGGTCATCTGGAAACAGTCTCTTTGTGCTTTAGTACATGGGTAAGACTGCGTACATCTACCCCCTACCCCATCGTAGGCGGGAGCTTTTGCGGCAGTGGGGTAATGATGATGGTGGTATTTATATGATCAGTTATTTTGTTTAAAACAGTACATTTACAAAAAAAACACCTGGATAGGCTGCCTAGGCAGTATAATAACTTTCCATTTTATTGTCTCTGAATCGTGGTCACATTGTTCATTTCCACGCTCCAAACATTATACTATGTATAGTTTTTTAACTAACCCTTTCTGTGTCTTGGTTTTGAAAATAAGTTGACATAATGATGGAGTATATTCCCGTATACCCCAGGGGTACCATGATCGCCGGTATAAAGCATCACAGATCCATCAAGGAGCGCGAAAATACTAAAGTCTACAACTGGACCTCGACCTCGACCGCCGAGGTCAGAAAATAGCAAGCTCAGGAATCAATCGGACTTGGCAAGAATCGAAGCGAACCAACCTCGACCCCGAGGTCGGGAAATCACCAGGCTCAGGAATCGACCAAACTCGGCGAGTTATGAGCCCGACCTCGAAACACCCGAGCTCGGCATCGAGTCTGACCGCGTAGGTCAGACACATGGTTAACAATGCAAGCGCCATGCAGTCAACCACCTCGAAGATAGGAACAAGAGACAGGAGGCAAGTTATCTCATCACGAGCCCGAGTCTCCGAATACCGGCCTCGGTAAGCCCGAGGTCAGATTAAGGCATTGTGGACTTAGACAAATCCGCAAGGATCAACATCGTGGGAAAGCGCTGCCACATCACCATTAGCACCAGGGAATATTCTTGGTTACCCACGCTGAACCGCACGGGGATTCTGGCAGCAATTCTGTTAGCAACAAATTCCAATCAGTCAGCTATCCAAGACTCTCTCTCCAATCACCTTTACACATGGTTGTTCCTCATCGAATTAGACTGTTAGTTTGTTAGAATAGCTTTACACATGTCCCCTTCTCATTAGATCAACATCTTTTACTTGGGCACCAAGTATTACCTTTTCTCCCTTAGTATAAATATCATCTTCCAACTTGTGGAAAGAGATGTTCAATTAATCGCGTTCTCAATACTCTTACTGTAATTCGGCCGGATTGCATACCTGTACTTTCCGATCAGTTCACTCTCTCATTTTACTTGGATTCCGACTACCCCTGGTCCGGTGATCCATCACATAGATTGACCCTAAAAAATGAACTATAGTTTTGTTTTGAGACTATACAATATGGGATTCCAATTACCAACCACTTTTAACTGGAAGCCAATAAAATGTTACTTTCCTTATTTGTTTTCTAATATTTTACTTCTGGTTAGTCCAAGCGAGTCTTGTCCAAGTTGATAAGGTATATTTTATGTAAAATAATGTATGCAGAGCTCTGAATACTTTTATTATACAGTTTTCATCATTTGTGTTGCCTTTTTTTTCTTTTTCTTGAATTTTCACTCAGTGTGGACATATACAACTTATTAAATTTCAACCAATTTATTTATTTCACTTACTTTTTCAGTTGCTTAGTGTATACATGCTCTAAAGTGTTCTCTAACGTCCTCTATAATTGAAAATTCAGATTTAATTACTTTCTAATTATTTACTCTTTTAATTATACACTTATACATAGGTGATATTACTCTTTACAATTATACAAAGTAATATTTATTTATTAATCAACAACTACCATCCCCTTCGACGCTAACAGATAAGGTTTTAATAAGTCCTATTTCGCTTTCACTCTTCTCCTCATCGGTCATGGTCACAGATTTCCACTCTCAAGTTATGGTCTGCATGTACTAACCCAAGAATGTTAAAAAATACAGATGTAGAGGTTGTCATTGGGTATGTCGTATTATTGTTGTAACATAAATGAAAATGCATATTGGTACCCTACTAATTCCATTTCCAGGGGTAAAGAGTAAAGTTGCCTTAAGTTAAAGGTTCTTCTGTGCATTTAGGGTACCAGATTAACCATTTCAGGCTGCATTTTGTTTGTGTCGTGTCCTTACAAATACAAGTTGACTATAATATAGTGACATATATACCATTCGATCTGTTATACCTATATGATGTTAGTACAGTGTTTAAGAACTGTTTATAAAGTTTTATATAGGGATAGAAAAGAATGAGTTAATTAATAAAATGGTGGTACTGATCCAACTATGGTCTTCTGTGCATGAAATAAGGAGTCATATAATTTCTAAAGTCCTTTAGATTCCTCTTCAAACCTAGCTCTAGATTTTCTACAATCGTTGATGTTAATTTAGAGTATTTATTTCCCTAGAAGAAAATGTAACACCATATTTCCGTTTTTGGGTTTTCCTCTTAAGTAAAAGAAGAACTAGAAAGCAAAAAGTGATAATGAGCCCATAGCTTCTCATTTTCTTCATTTTCCTGTCATGTTTTTTCTAAACAATTACCATTTTAGTGTCATATGTCACAATGACAGATGAAAAGAAAGCACTTCCTATTTCTTTTCTGCAGGTTAGCTTGAGGGAACCTCTTCATCTTGGTCCTGATGACGAGGTAATGGAGATAATTGGATCTCGTGTGAGTATCTTAATGTATTTCTAGAACCATTTTACCCTATATATTATTATATCTTAATCTGTAATAATCTTGTGTTATTGATGGTGAACATTTATAAAGTTGTGGTTGGTGGAGCTGGGCAGCTACACTATATTTGGACATATGGTGATCGGTTCTAGGCTTCTAGCCTTACTGCTGCCCGTATGTTGCAGAGCATTGCTTCAACTGTGGTTCAGTTTATCTACTGCAAAGCATTGCATGGGTAACTTCCATTTAAGATGGCAGTGAACTTTGCAGGTGCCTGTGTGAGTTTGGCGTTCGATGAGGAGAAGCTTACCTATGTTGTTTATGTCGTCTGAGACTAGCTCGTATTTTTAGCATTCATATAAGCTTGCTTTAAATGATATGGAAGTGTTTGTCTACGTATTATATGGTATGTCATCTGAAAAGGTACTGGTTAAATATTAAATCACTTGTATTTTTGGCATCTGTGCAAAACTATTACTAAAATTGATAATTTGTTGTGCCTATATGAAATGTACTTCAATTCGACAAATAAATTCATAAACTTTGTAAAAAGAGCAAGACACTTGCTTTGATAAAAAGAACAATGTCGTTGTGTACACCCTATCTATATATTAACAAGACTTGACCCCTCTTGCTTTGTGGGAGCCGTAATGAGCTTGAGTATATGCTTTTGGGGTTTTGCCCTATATATTACTAAATTTAGATCAATTTCCAAAAATGTGATCACTTTTAAATATTGACAAAAATGTGACTAACAAAAGGTCATATATTTGTAAAAATGATGTCACTGCAAAATTCATGTCACTAACAGCATGTCACTACCCTATTTTCATGTCACTTTCGGATTCACTACAGTGAAACATGTCACTATGACCACTGGGGAATTTTCTGGTGACCTTTCCGGTGACCTTCTCCGACGAAATTGTACAACATGTTTCCAGCTTCTACACCGCCACTATCCCATCCCCCTGCAACGGCCTACCACTGCCCCTTGGAATTCCCCTGCAATGACCCTGCCCTGAAACCCTAGGCGCTAGCATGCCGCTTGTGGTTGTAGATTGAAATCCAGATCTAGCTAGCCAACCACGAGCCTATCATAGCCAACAGCCCTCACCGCCAACCACAAGCCCTGCAACACCGGTCTTAGTTCGTCACCATAGCTTCCAACACATCCATAGCCACCGCTCTTTGTCATCGTCAAACTCCAATCGACCTCGCCGGTCACCATACGAACACTCGCAACCGTCCGCCATGTCTCTTTCATGGCATCTACAGATCTGAAGGATTTCGAACCCCTCCACAGAGAACCGAAGAAGAGATTGAAGAAAGAAGAAGAATGGAGGAGATGAAGTGCCTGTGGAGTCAACAATGGAGATGTGGAAGCGGAGAAAACAGAGATGCGGTAGAGGTGGTTGGAGGTCGTTCGCCTGGGAGCCTGGGACGCAAATAAGAGAAACGACGGTGATGGGAGAGACAGGAGAGAAGTATAGCCTGGTCACTTTTTTGTCTTAACCTAAATTAGTCATATTTTTATCTCTTCAAACCTTGTAGGTAATATTTTTGCCATTATTTCTATGTTTTTATTGAGAAACGAGACAAATAAGCCCTCAAACTATTTGCGGTTCTGCAATCAGGCCCTTGAACCGGAAGATTTGCAAATACACCCCTCAACCCAATGAAAATTTGACAATCAGATCATTTTTTACCTGTTGGTGCAGATAAGGAGATTAGAAATTACCGGCATCAGCAGGTAATATGATTGCTTGACTTTCAACGAGTTGAGGGTGTATCAGCAAGTATTCATGTTCATTGCTTGATTGCAGAATCACAAATAGCTCGAGGGCTTATTTGCCTCTTTTCTCCTTTTTATTTAATTATTTTTTAGAAGTAGTAGCATTGCTTCTCCAAGGTATGATTTATATTTGTTTTATCTTCTTATATTTAATTTTTTTTGTATCTCATTTTGCAGCCTTGCAGGCGAGGTTTTCTATTTGAGAAATGCATGCACTCAGAAATATTTTTTTTTGTGAAAAATGTTTCAATTATGCAATTGTGAATTTAGATTTGTGATACCGAATAGCCCAATTTCAGAAGTTTGAAATGAAATGTGCCCACCTTTCAGAAGTTTGAAATGATACTTATAATTGTCTTTCTTTTGGATCAAGTTCTTTCCACGACATCGAAAATTAGTTTTTGTTGATATATCATATATGCAAGCTTAGTCACAAAGCTCGGTCCTATGTTTTTCAAGGATTAGAGGATATTTTTCGTAGGGTTATTATAAAATTATAAATTACTTATTTAAATAAATTAGTAGAATCATATAGTCATAATAAGATAGAATACTTTCTAGTGAGATTATCAGTTATCTATTTAAATAAATAGCACATCGTAAAGAAAATTATCATTATATCAAACACTTTCATAGTAATTAAAATTTGAAAATGTTGAATGAATATAAATTGCATAAGAACTCTTTCAAAAAATAAATAAATTGCATAAGAACAACATTGTGACAGATCAATAAAGACTGCCCACAAATGACACAACCACACACACAAAAATCGATAGCTTTTTCCAATGAAAAAGTTAAAATGTGCTTCAAGAAAGCATTTGCAAACAAACCCTAAATATTACACTAAAAGTCATTTTTTATCAAACATTCAAAACTTGACATTTTCATCTAAATCACTTTTATTCTAAAACAATATCTTCTTTTACTAATAAACACTTTCTCAAAAAGCACTAAATAAAATCACTTTTTATAAGTAGAAGCATACATGTTCTATTATGCAGCCGTCTCCCTCATGTTAGGGTTTTGAGGTGTGCGCGTTTCTGTACGATCTTTCTTCTTCGGCAAAGCAGAGCACAAACCTATCTCGTCAAGCTCTTATCATCTGCGTAGGATTTTGATTTCGACACGCCTTCTTCAATATTTCTCAGGGGCGACACATAGCAGAAAGGCCAGGTGGTTGTTTTGCCTAGGGTTGCAGCACGGTCGTGGCAGAAGCTTGTTGACTACTTTGTGCTCGGCCGAGGCTTCAGGTAAATGACTTAGATGGAGGATATCGCTAATAAATACAACAATATGGCCATTGGAGGAGAACAGGAAGAACTAGTTTTTGATGATGAGGAAAATGACAAGGATGGGAACTCAGAACTCAAAGAGATCTACCCAGTGGATGGTACTTTACTCATGGACAGAATGGTGAAATTTCCGGTGGTCACTGTTCAGGGACATCATGGCTTCAATATGACGGCCCGGTAAAGGAATATCCATTAAAGAGATTGGTGACAAAAGGTATTTGTTTACTTTTTACCATATTATCGATATGGAACATGTTAGTGGAAGTGGTCTATGGCTTTTTTAGCAGAATTTGCTAGTATTTAGGGCAATTAAGCCAGGTGATACCCCCCGCAGGTTCCTCTCAATGAGGCTGAGTTCTTGGTGTAGGTACATAATGTATCTTATGATTTTATGAATGTTGGGGTAGCTAGAAGAATTGGCAACTTTATTAGGAAATTCATCAGTTTTGATGAAAGCCAGTTTGGAGAAAAGTGTAAATCCTATATGAGAATCAGGGTTTGCATGGATGTGGGGAAGCCACTAAAAGTGGGCACGATGCTTAGAAAAGGATAGGGAGCAGGGCATTGGGTAGATTTTAAATACGAAAAACTGCCTAGTTTTTATTTTGTCTGTAGTGTCATCGGTCATGGTGACAGATATTGTCCCCTGGTCTATGAATGTGAAAACAATGTTCTGGTAAACCCTATGGGGTAGGACTCCGAGCGGGAGGATGGGGAAAAACTCGCCCAATAGGAGGCAATAAATGATTGGTACTAGAAGCTTCCTCAGACGGACGAGTTGTGACTCAGAAGGAGAATACTCCAGGTAGAGTGAATGAAGGCGTTGGAAGGGTTGGGACTGGAGGGCACATTTGGGTTCTGACCGTGGCGTGAGGAAACAAGACTCGAACCGAGGAGGACGAAGCAGCAGCTACAGAGGAGACCTTAGGAGAACAGAAGCGCATGAGGATGTGGGGGGAGAAAGAACGAGGATGCTGGGAGGGACAACATGGCTCTCGATGATCCAAAAACAGAGAGGGGGCAGGTCTAGGCCATTCAACCCGCTGAGAGCTCTGAAAGCGTTCCAGGTCAGAGAAGAATATGGGAAGCTCCTCGGGTTGCTGAGGGTACAACTGAAGTTCCACTTTTATGCTTTCATTTATGTTTTTTATTTTGATCAAAACTATTTTTGTTTTTGTCACTTATGTTTACTTTTGCCAAACTCTTGCATTAGGATTGGGCGATGATGGGTCTTTTCTAACCGCGTTAGGCTCATTTAGACCCATTACAAGATAAGCGAGTCATATTGCTTTTTGTAAGGTGATTGACTCAGAGTCCGGTTTGAGGGTCGGTGGGTGGAAGAGGTCATTTTATCTTCTTGTTCCCTTTCTGAATGTTGCGATATCAATTTAAGTCGCCTTTTTCAAAAATAAAATAAAAGGAAAAAAGAATCCGGATTCACACTATAATACTATCCCATGATTTTCAGAAAAAATATTAACTCGACAATCAATAAATTATTAAAAATAAAACAAAAATATATAATAAACGGATGAAATATGTAAATATAATTATAGTTACGGTCTTTTTATACTAAACTAATTTGAATCTTAAAAGAAATACTTGCATGTATATATATAGGGAGTGGTTCCAGTGAGAAAGGACTCCCAGGAGAGAAATGAGAATGAATCTAGACCGTTGGATTGTATAATGTGAAATTGAATTGTGCATTTGGTAAAACTGAAATGTGCATTACGTGAAATTGAAATGTGCAGAATGAAAAATAAAACTCAAATGTGCATTACATGAAATTGAAATGTGCAGAAATAAAGGCACAAAAATGCCACTGCATCCTAGTTTTTAGTGTGCAAGTTTCAGTTTCACGTAGTGCATATTTTAGTTTTTCATAATGCACAATTCAGCTTCACATAATACCACTATGTCTTACATTTTGTGCTGCACATTTTGATTTCACCTAATGCACATTTCAGTTTCACTTAATGCACATTCAATTTCACAGAATACAATCTAACGGTCCAGATTCATTCTCATTTCTCTCCTAAGATCATTTTCTCACTTGAACCTAATTCTATATATATATATATATATATATATATATATATATCATTAAAATTAATGTTGTTTAAAAAAATGTGACCTCCTAAGTGTAGTGACTAACGTAATCATAATAACTTATGTTTAATATTTACACTTAACTAACTATGAGACTATGCTATAGGTAACTATTACAATGTTTTTACTTCGATTGTTTTCAGTCGCAGACGAGACCAGGCTAAACAAACCAGACCAAACATAAAGATCAAACATTTACCAGACCATACCAGAAAATTTCAATCCAATTAAAAACATCCTTAATCATATTTTTGTAAACAAGTTTCATTTCAGTAATAAAAAAAACTCATCTAAGAATTGGGTTAAAAAAAACTCAAAAGGACAAAATAATTACTAGAAGGGGGCAAAGGTATTGAACCATTTGAACACTTTACTGCTTTTATGATATTGTGCACTGCTTTCCCCAAGCTATTCCGCGCAATTAGTCTCTATAGACTATAGTCTTTTAGATAAGTACTCACGAGGTTTGGTGTGATTATTAAAAAAATAAATTTATATGGTTAATATTAAATTAATAAAATAAAAATAAAATAAGAATGAATTAGAATACACAAGTTTTGTCAAATTTGGTATGAAATAATCTTAGTGAAACAAATCGAAAAAGAAAGATGAGACAAATCTTAATGGGACGAAGGAAGAATTATATAACTAAGTAACTAACCCTGTCCTACTGGATTTTGTCAGCTTTCTTTTTTGTTTGTCCTAAAAAACTTTGCCGCTTTCTTTTTAAAGCAATGAATTTGTAACTGTTCATTTCTCTCTCATCTACACAAATCTCAACCTCAACCACACATTTTTTAGTATTCTAATTTCACACCCAAAATCAATTTGGCATATTATTATTTATTAGTATAAAACAATAATATGCCTACACTAATTACCTTGTTTCTAAGGTTTATAAAAGTTGGAGGATGATGAGCGCTGCAGGCTCTCCCTAGCAGGTCTAGGGTTTGGTTTTTCCTTAGTAGATTTAAGGTTTGGTTCTTCCGGCCGGTGAATCCTCTTCACTTGTGTCCGGCGTTTGGATTGGATTTGAGGCAGATTGACAAGAATCATTGCCCAAGTTTGACGACATCGAAGCCAGAGTTCGGCGATCGATTTCTTCGTGAGCAGGACAGCAAGGGCATGACATCGATGAAGATGACCACTAGCGGTGGATTTGCTACGAGCGCGGGACGAGGAGAGGTGCACGGATTTCGAGCAGGCCAGATGACGATTAACAATGGAGGATCAATTAGAGTGGTACCAAGGATACGACCTCCTCCTGAACCACCGCCATGGGTTGTACGAGTTGCTAGAGTCCGTGGAAGTTTTCCTATTAATTATTTTTATTCTATCATTTGACTTCTTGTTATCGTCTATATTGTTAGGTTTGTCAGTTTGTTTAGGAATTCAACCTTTTTTATGTCATTGAGTATGTTTGGATCTATGGGAATATGGAGGACTGTAACAAGCCCACTACATGTTTAGCGATTCGCGTTGCTCTTTCAAGGGTGACTGTGTCTGAATCTGATCATATGGTTTACAGTCGTAGTTGTTGGATTTTAGTTGGTGTCAGTTTTGTTTTTAGAAATTGCTCTAAATAGGAGCAAAAACGTTTTGAAATTCCAAAATAGGAGTATCATGTTTTTTATTCCCTTAATAGGAGTAATCTGCCGAGTTTGGAAGAAAATGCCATGTTTTAAAGCAAGTAATGCCAATTTTGGCAGAAATTTCAAATTTTTTTTACTCATATTTAGGGAATTCTCCCTTTTGTTCTTCCTTTGATTGATGTAATGATCATGAAACTTATGATACGAAAGAAGGTTAGTTGACGATTAAAAAAAATTACCTCTTGTGTGAACATATCTTTTTTTATAAAAAAAGTAATTCCACTTTCCAATAGTTTAAGTATTATACTCTTGAACAAGATCATTTGAAAAAAGATCATTCATATAAAGCAAACTCTTAAAAATTAAACTACAAAAGTTGAAGATAACAGAGAACATCACAGTACATGAAACTAAAACAAGAGTGCTTAGGGTTGGTGACTCCTAATCAGTTTTGCGGGCGTCCTTAAGCTGGCCTCTCTTCCTAACAGCGAGGCAAAACTTGAGGCGCCAAGCATCAACTGCGGACTCGGGCAACAAAGAGACCAGAGCCCATAGAAGAGAGTGGGGCCAGTAAGGGGTGCACCTCGGTTCATAACCTATCCAAGCCAAGGCTGCCCTAGCATAACCATCTGTTGATGGAACAAAGAAGGATGATCTCCTTATTGAGGCCATCTTGGTTGCTACATATAAGGGTACCTGCCATCGGAAACCCCATCGTAATTATATTAAAAAGAATCAAGAAACACACAATATCTAAATAAATGAACCAAAAGTAAGAAGAGTTAAACAGAAACACCCAATCATAACAATAACAATAATGAGGATAATAATACTAATGAAATAAGAGAAGTAAATACCTGGCATTGCACATCAATCCCACTTTTTTTGTACTCGACATAGAGGCATCTTGAAAATTGATCAATGTATCTGAAAGTTAAACCATGAAAGAGAGGACTAAATATCTTATAGAAACCTGTTATGAATTGAAAGAGAGCCAGACAACTAATCCCAACTTCTAAATGGGCAACCTCCAACTAATTCAATATATTTTATAAGATTAATTGCAAGTTTGGAGATGCACCAAATTTCAGAAGAAAAATGATTATCTCAATGTGCATGACTAAAAGCCCGTTTGCTAAGGGTTATTTGGCAGAGAAGGCTGAATCAGTTACTTTTTCTAAATGGAAAATCGTCTAATAACATCTACTACGTGTATTTATTTTGTTCATAAGCCAGGACTTGCTACCAAACAGGGACTACATTCGTGTCTGAAATAAAGACGCATCATGCCACCCTAAAATGAGTAAAATCTTTTCACACTTAAACAGTGCTCAAGGTTGCTTTAATAAACCCATTTTGGTACTTCTTACTTTAACAGAGCCAAAAAAGGTGGTTTTCAAGTAGGTGCTTCTACTCAAATTTATCCTCTTCGAGCTAAAAGTTATAAACATGGGGTTAAACCCAGCTTTTCTCTTATTCCATAATACTTTAGGTTGCTAATAGGCGAGTACAAAACACTCAAACTTCTACTTCTTAAAAATCAATTTTATAATTAAACAATTTCCCAATGATCTCTAAAATTAATTGCTTCTCACAACCACAAGCAAACACAAACCATGCCTTATAAGATATAGAGTATCCTCTCCCGTCATAAATTCAACAGCGGATAGAATCCGAGTCCATTTCTAAATACCAACGTTATGGAACCTAAGTAGTGCAAATCAACATAACCTAACCTTAGGGCCTGTTTGGTATGATGTAAAGTAAACACTTTGCAAGCAAAGCGTGGAGAAATAAACATTTTACAAATTATTTGATGTAAATAGTAGGACACCTTTTTAAAAATATTTTAAAATATTTTACTTGGAAGTATAAACTACTATGTACTTTACAGCAGCCAATACCGATTATAAAACATGTCGAGTTCCATGTTTTACAATTTAGCCCTTAGGTTAATAACTTTAAACAACACAACTACTCAAGAGTCAAGATGTGATCGGTAAGACATTCTAAACTAGACTAGATACAGTTTGGTAGCTAATTCTGGGAGCAACACTAGATTCTAAAACATTTTCCCTTTTAGAAAACTTAAGTGATTCAGTCAGCCATTTTTGCCAAGTAACGCTTACCAAACAGACCATTAAACTATTCATTCATGTACTTGAAGTTAAAGGATAGGAGTTGTATATGTGAGTGTGGTAGTAGTACTGTAGTAGAGATTGCATAGCAGCTTACGCTTTGGTGGCGGCATAAACAGAGTAAAGGGGATCAGAAGGGATAACAATGGCTGCCCCTGAACCAATGTTGACGATAGCCCCTTTCTTCCTTTGGAGCATCCCAGGCAAAACAGCCTGCGTAACCTTAGTAGTTCCTTCCACATTGACCTTGATCAGATCAGCCAACAGCTTCTCATCCACCTCGTGGAAAAACCTCGCGTACGGGTAAGAAACTCCCACGTTGTTGATCAGTACTCCCACATCCAACCCCTCAATCGCCTCCCGGATTCTCCGGACGCCGTCGTCCAAATCGCCGGAGAAATCCACCACCACACTTTTAATCTGGATCTGCCCGTGCTTCACTTTTATGGACTCCGAAACGTCTTTAAGCTTCTCCGGGTTCCGACCCACCAGAACCAAATTGAGCCCTTTGCGAGCTAACTGAAAAGCGAATGCCTTTCCGATGCCGTCGGTGGGTCCGGTTACCAGAGCCCACGACCCGTATTTCTTGAGGTTCTTACCGGGCCGGATGAAATTGACGTGCACCCATTTGAGGATGGATACAGAAAAGGCGAGGAGTTTGAGGAAGCCCAGAGCTAGAAGAAGAAGAAGCCATGTGGGTTGAGATTTTAGGAGTTGATAGAAACAGGCCTCCATTAATCTGGGTGTGAAAGGGGAAGCTCTCACTCACAAATAAGAATTCACAAAGATGGCTGTGAGCTCTTGCTCTTATGGGTTGAGTTACTTCCTCCTTCCTTGAGCAAATAAATACAGTTGGCCAAACTTGGAATAAATGCGAGTGTTAGGAAAATGCAGTTGGGCATTGCCACTCCATTGATTAATACGGCATATGTCCATACTCAATGGGAGTTGAATTTTTCCAGAACAAAATCCACTTTTTGTCCCATGATGACAATTCTATATTATTATTTTGACTTTCAATTTAACTAAATCTATTCCGTGACCTTTTCCCCTTCACCACCTGTCGTCCTTCTGATCAAAACTCCGGAAAATTTTAACCGAAAACCAATTAATGAAGGTTAGTTGCGTCATTTAATAGCATTTATAGGTTTTCTTATCGAAAAATTCCACTTTTGGTCTCATGACTATTATGTCACTTCCACATTACTCCCTTGACTTTCAATTTAACCAAATCTAGTCCGTGACCTTTTCCCCTTCACCACCCGTCGTCCTTCTGACCACAACTCCGACAAATTTTAACCAGAAACTCATTTATGTAGAAATATTGGGGGCATTTTAGTAATTGTATGTTGTTAAAACGGCTACCTACAAAATTAACTTCAATTAATGCTGAGTTAATAACGCCGACTTCCTTCATTCTCAAAACCGAAGTCTTCTTCAATTTCCCAAACTTCCGTAAGCCTGAAAAATCCCCAACCATCGTTCGAACAATGAGGACCCATCCGGACCGTCAGAGTGAAGGAGAAGGAACAAGTGCTGAACAACGTTCGCCAACAAATGCTAGTGATAAAGGTAAGAGGCTAAACTTTTTTTAAAAAGAGTGGAAGAGAGTAATGAATACAAGGCTGAAATGAGGTGTATATAATTGGTGTTTGCACATGTTAGGGGTTTTATGTTGAGGCTGAAAAAGAGGGTTTTTTTTAAAGAGTGGAAGAACGTAACATGTGCAAACACCAATTATATACACCTCATTTCAGCCTTGTATTCATTACTTTCTTCCACAGTTTTTAAAAAAAGTTCAGCCTCTTACCTTTATCACCAGCATTTGTTGGCAAACGCCGCACTTCTTCCTTCTCCTTCACTCCGACGGTCCGATCGGGTCCTCATTGTTCGAACGATGGTTGGGGATTTTATAGGTTGACGGAAGTTTGGGAAATTGGAGAAGACTTCAATTTTGAGAATGAAGGAAGCCGGCATATTAACACAACATTAATTGAAGTTAATTTTGCAGGTAGCCGTTTTAGCAACATACAATTACTAAAATGACCCCAATATTTCTACATAAATGAGTTTCCGGTTAAAATTTGCCGAAGTTGTGGTCGGAAGCACGACGGGTGGTGAAGGGGAAAAGGTCACGGACTAGATTTGGTTAAATTGAAAGTCAAGGGAGCAATGTGGAAGTGACATAATAGTCATGGGACCAAAAGTGGATTTTTTTCGATAAGAAATCCTATAAATGCTATTAAATGACGCAACTAACCTTCATTAATTGGTGTCCGGTTAAAATTTACCGGAATTGTGGTCGAAAGGACGACGGGTGGTGAAGGGGAAAAGGTCACAGACTAGATTTGGTTAAATTGAAAGTCAAGGGAGTAACGTGGAAGTGACATAATAGTCGTGGGATCAAAAGTGGATTTTTTTCAATTTTTTCATGTGAATGTCTATTTATCTAGTTTTGTTTGATGTGAGACTGAAATTAGTCTAATTAAAAACATTCTAAGGTATACATCTAAGGGAGAACAAATCCAATCCTAACTGAAAAAACTGATCGGGTTTAATAAAAAATTTGTATAATGGGTCGGTTGACTAGACCCGAATCCTCAACTCGATGCGGCAGTCCAATTCCTAACCTCCAACATATAGTGGGTAGAGTTCACACATTGGCTACCCAACCTAGACCTTTTAGAGTTTACTCCCATAAGCCCATTAGTCCATTACCTATTTACCCTTACTCCCTTATTCCCTTCGCCGGTTAGCCCATAGGCCATAACCATAACTCCTAAAGTCCTAATCGGCTAACTATAACTTACACTCTATATCTGACTATCTCTATTCTCTACGACTGAGAGGAGTGAGATAATATGACTTCTCTCTTCGTCGTCTGCCGTCGCCGTCGCCCGGTTGAGTATTCGTCAGTCGTCATTGGCTCACTTCCTCAACCTAGTGGAAGCCTTCAAGCCGAGCGTGTGAATGTGTGTGTCTGTGAGACCGATTGCCCATCTTTCTTCTTTGAGCCGTTGAAGTATAAAACACTTATACATGTTCGTATAATGGTATGTTGAATACTTGATGACACATGCATCTTTTGAGTTCTGATGTACACACACACACATTCTTACTGAATGTTGCATGTTGAGTTCTTAACTCTTGATTTCTGAGTTCAGTCATGTTTAAATGTTCGATTGCCCCTGTTAATTATTGATGTATATGTATTGACCTACTGTGTTACTGAATGCTGAGTCTTGATTTCTGAGTTCGCATTTGTACAGATCTGTATAATTCATTCAGATCCGTTTATTTGAAATTTGAATGTCGAACTGTGGAAGCTATATTCATGTGTTGCCTACTATGTAGATGTGGTTATGACTTTTGATTTATGAGTTGAGATGTGTATATTTGTATTTGTATCATTATATGTGGAAGCTTTATTCATGTGTTCCCACTTTCCCTACCGTGGTCTGTGGGGATGTGGTTCTGATTTCTGAATTTTGAGTACAACTCTGTATAATTGTATTTGTATGTGGAACTGTGGAATCTTTATTTATATGTTGCTTAATGCCTACTATGGAGATGTGGTTTTGGTTTATAAGTAGAGATATGTACATTTGTATATTTGTAAATTGTATGTGGAGTTGTGGAAGCTTAGTATAAACCTATCATGTATTCATGTGTTACTCACTTGTACTGTTGCACATAGTTGCATTCTTATTTTGATGAAGAAGCCTTTGTGTACTCAAGTACTCAAACGAGTACAAAGAGTGAACTGGTTTCTGTAGAGTCTGTACAGAAATGAATAAGCAGATTGCTTCTGAGTCCATTTTCATTACAAGTGGTAGGGTTTTGAACTGTTTTAGGACTTCATTAAGTGCAAAAATTGTGGAAGCCCTTATTTGTGCATAAGATTGGTTGTGAATGGCTAACCAGCCTCTCTGAGTTGAAGAAAACACTGATGAAGTAGAGAGGCTAGAAAAATTTATAAGTTTTATGTATTATCATGTTTTATTTACTTATTCTTAAGCTTATTGATTAAACTTCTAAATTCTAACAATGTCTTTATTTGTTATAGAATTAATGGATGGAAATGTTGGTGTTGGAGCTGTTGGTCCTTCCGGATCCTCTACTGTCCCATTAAGTGTACATTTTCTATATTTTTATTGTACATTTGTCCCATTATGTGCTTGTTGTTCCATTTGAATGAGTATGAATTTGTGAATTTGTGATTCACTGATTCTGTAAAGCATGAACATGAGTATATGACTCTATGATTTGGCATTGGATATGATGAAACTTCAACTCATTACTGCATATATGGTTTAGGGTTGGTATTGCTCTTTCAGTTCGGTAAGTTGTAACTGAAATTGTAGCAGATGTCCCCTATTTCCCTTGTGAATGATAATAAGCATTTTGAGCTCTATGATCATCTAGTTTGTTTCATTAATTTCATAATTTGTCCTTGTAAGTTGTAATTGTGTCAACTACATAAGTTCAATTGGAAATGTTTGTAACACTTGAGATTTAATTTAAATGGATTAATAGTACTACTCATACCAACAAGATGGATCTCCTTTTAAGGGAGCTCATCACCCAAGAACTCCAAAGTTAAGCGTGCTTGCACGGGAGTAGTCTTGGGATGGGTGACCCCGTGGGAAGTTTCTCAGGGCGCGCACGAGTGAGGATAAAGTGTGCATGGAAGGCTTGTGGCGGTTTGTGAGGACAGTACTAGAGGTCAGAAGTAACTACCTCGGGTCCTACGAGACCGGGGTGTTACAATGTTGGTGATGGAGCTGCTAGTCCTTTTGCATCCTATAATGTCCCATACTCCCATAAGCCTATTAGTTGTGTATATGTTGTATACAGTATACTTGTTGAATATATTACATGAATTACGTCTACTAATTTAGGTACTTTATATTTTTGTTATACATGTGACCTGATACCTTTATATAATTTATTGTGTGCTTGTTCCATTTGAATGAGTATGATTTTGTCATTCTGGAAAGCACGCACATGCTGCCAACTCTCCCTGGATCCTTGTCTCTTGCTCTGATTTCAAGGTTTTGCGTATCTCATAATCCCATTAATCCATGACTATCATTTCTATGATTTGGCATTGGTTATGATGAAGCTTCCACACATTACTGAATGTATGGTTTAGAGTTGGTATTTCTCTTTCAGTTCATAACATGTAAGCTGTAACTGAAATTGTAGCAGATGTCCTTATATTCCTTGTGAAGGATAACAAACATTTTGAGCTAGTGATTTTCTGATTTGGTTCATTAACTTGTCATTGTAAGTGTACTACATGTGTTCATTTGTAGAATTGCATACTTGTATTCAGGTGGAAACCTAAAGCCGTGGAAAATAGTTGTGGAACTTCAAGTCTTCAAGCAACAAGCCCGAGAAATAGAAATTGGGATGTATTAATTTTGCCTATTTGGATGTTAACAAGTTGTGTTGTGGTTTACTTTTGTTTTAGACAATGTATAAATCTGCAATATCATCAAATTCTATGTTTGAATTTTGATCCCCTCCCTACTATGTAGTAGACTACTATCAAATTTGTCAGGTTTGTAATTATTTATAAGGGAATCAAACAATGTTTTGCAGTTTTGAACATGTTGCTTTTTTTGCTAAATTCCGTATTTTAGATTTTTAGGTCTAAAAATAAAACCGACTCAATCCGAAACCCGATCTGAACCCGCCATAACCCGACATTTTAAAAACCCGAAAATATCCAAGTAAAAAAACATAATAGGATATCCATATTACACATCCAAAATCTGAAAGGGTCTTGGGTTCACCCACCCACCCGACCCGAACCCACCCGATGCCCTATATACATCAACAACACTTTTGGTTCAGTATACAAAGTAAAAGTTTTTTTGCATAGATAAGTAGAGAAATTGTTCCAAATAGTACTAAAATACAAAACAAAG